AGGTACCGAATATCTGTGCTGAAGTTTCAAGTATTCGTGTTGAGCACGGATAGGTACCAAATACACGTGGTAAAGTAATGAGGTTTCGAAAACTTGTGTAGAGGTTCCAAGTACCTCTGCTGATTTCGAGTACTCGTACATTCACGAATACGACTGAAATACGACTTGTAAACCTCAGTTGAGGTCCTATATTAAATTGGACTTGTAAACCCCATTTACTGAATACGACTTCAAAATTAGAATTTATTGAATGTGACTTGTGAATCGCATTTACTAATTGATAAAATGGGACTTACAAATCGCGTTTAGTGAATACGAAGTGTATGCAATCTCAACTGTTGAATGCGACTTATGAATCGCCAAGTTGGATGCTGATTGTGACTTGTAAATTGCAATTAGTGTCCGACTAAGGAAAGTCAGCACGAAGAGGCGATTATCAGGAGTTATTCATAATTATCATGAGCAATTTGGCCGAGGACAACCAATAATCGACAGAACACGTCGCTGAGCAGTTAGTCACGACCCAGATCGAGTATCACGAAGTAGTAGTAGCGGCTAGTTATGTATTGGGATCCTAGAGAGAATATTCCATTGAATATTCTCTGTATTTGTACTTTTAGGGTCCTTTGGGGGATGTCCCATATAAAAAGGAATGAGAGATATGACAAAGGGCATGTAATATTCTAGGTGATAAGAACTCTTTTGAAAAGGAAGCTCTCTAGAGAAATACAAAGAATATCTTTCTAAAGAGATTCGTCTTTTTGGATTATTCCTTGTCATTGCCACCAGATCCGAGAAAGTCTTCAATATTCTTATAGTTACTTGTCACTCATTATTGTTAGAGGAAGGAATCATCCACCTTATTCAATATTGGGTGAATCTTCCTCTTTATTTATATTGAGTTCCATTTATTGCTATTTAATATTTAACACTTCTAACACGTTATTGCATCCGAAGCATTCAATACACAGTGCATTAAATCTGCCTCATCCATTTCTATATCTCCCACATCGCTTATCTTAAACCTAAAGTTATTATATTTAACTAAAATTACCCCCTTGAATATCGATTAATTAGTTTAGCCAAAGATAATTATTTTTTGGTCAAACAATTTGGCGCCGTCTGTGGGGATTTTCTAGTTAAAATTTTAGTCTCTTCTGGATCTATGATCAACCAAAAAAAAAAACGCAAAACCCTTAACATGGCAGGTAATGGAGAAGAAAGGAGGAAGGCAGTAGCCGACCTCACCGCCAACCTCCTTAACACCATCAACGAGGTCTCCGAAACGGAGGGTGAGGATACGACACCAAACACCTCTCCTAGGTGGAACGGCTCACCCCTCCTCATGGTAGCATCACAACATCCCACGATAAAGGAGCCCCCACGTCCACAACGAAAGAAGTACCACCGACGGTGAAAAAATTGCTCGAGGCTTGGCTAACGAATGCGCTGACCAGCATCTTTGACAAACTCGCTCAAAAGACAATCGGAGAGGGCACAAGAACCTGCGTTGCACCAACAACAGTCGAACAACACGGCCCCCCTCCGCTCGCAGCAGGTATCACTCACAATGTTAATGATGCAGGTAACGACGCCCTCGTATCCATCTTGAGAAAAATAGAAGAGATGGAAAACGAAAACAAAACGCTCTGATATCAAATGAAAGAGCACCAAGAAAGGGTAGACAAAATACCGGGCGCCCTAAAACTCTTGCCAAAAAGAGACGCTGGCCGGTTCGTCGAGCAACCGTACAGTGACGAAGCCGCACCATATACCACACCTAAAACCTTCAAAATGCCTCCGTACCTAACAATATACGACGGCACGACAGACTTTGAGGATCATGTGACTCACTATGTCACCGCAGTAAAAGGCAACGACGTCGCCAAAGAGAAAGTACCCTCCATCTTATTGAAAAAGTTTGGCGAAACCCTTACCGGGGGTGCGTTAGCTTGGTATTCACAACTGCCTGCGCGTTCAATTGAAATATTTGAGGAAATGGCCTACAGGTTCTTAACGGCCCATGCCAGAGCCAAGAAGGCGGAGGCAAGAGTAAATGATATATTTGCCATCAAACAATCACCCGGAGAGGGGCTGAGGGACTTCCTTGCTCAATTTAACCGCGTAAGGATGACCTTAGCAAACGTATCGAAAGGAATTGCCGTGGCATCCTTCCAGAACGGGCTGAACAGAAGCGGTTCAAAGGCGACCAAAAAGCTACTGAGCCGGCTTATGAAATATCCCCCAACCACTTGGGACAAAATACACAATGCCTATTGAGCCGAAGTTCGAGCTAACGAAGACGATCTAAATGGACCAACCCAACGGCTGACCTCGGTACAAGCCGAGTCCAGAAAGGATCGAAGAAACAACAACAGAAGAGATCTAGCAGGCCCCCGACCCAACCGAGAAAGACATCAACCTTACATCAGAGGCGCCCTCATGCCGCCTTCCCGTCACGACAAAGGCCCATCTAGGCCGCGAACAGGGACTTACTGAAACGAGAGAGGTATGCCTCCCTTACTATCTGCTCACAATTTCTGTGTTTCTCCCTCAGAAATAGTCTATGCACTGGAGAAGCTCGGCCCAAAAGTGAAGTGGCCGCAGAAGATGGGGTCTGATCCGAGCACTAGAAAGTCAAACGCCCTCTACGAATTCCATCAGGAACGGGGTCACAAAACCGAGCATTGTATCGCCCTGAGGCAAGAGGTCGTGAACATGCTTCACCAAGGGCACTTGAAAGAGCTGATGAGCGACCGAGGAAGAGCCAACTTCGCTCGATGATGTGAACAGCACCGGGGCCCACCAAAACCACTTTCTCCGACTCGAACCATTCAAATGATCATCGGAGGGGGTGACGACGCTTCGATCAATAGCGTGAAGTTACCACCACCCACAAACTCAATTGATCGATCACTCACGAGCGGTATGACGAACTCGAAGAAAGTATCATCTGTGATAAGTCTGATACCAACAGTTTGGTTTTTCCTTACTATGATGCTCTTGTTATCACTTTATGCATATTAGATACAGATATGAGACGAATTATAGTGGACGATAGGAGCGGCGCTTGCATTATCCACCCTCGAGTACTTTCACAGATGAGACTCGAGGATAAGATAGTGCCACGCTGCATCACACTAACCGATTTTAACAATGCAGTTGAGCGAACCTCCGGAGAAATCACAGTCCACGTCCTGGCCGGTGGCGTCACCCTGGAAACCACATTCCACATTACGGACCAGGACATGGTGTACAACACATAATAGGTCGGCCTTGGATACACGCCATGAAGGCCATTCCCTCCAGCTTGTACCAAATCATCAAATTTCCCACCCCATGGGGAGTACACAGCGTTCGAGAAGAACAACGCACTTCCCGGGAATGCTATCGCATCGCCCAGGATTGCACATACACCCAACAGATGAAGGATAAAGCTAAAGAAGCATAGCAATCAATGGGTTCGAGGTTGAGCGGTGATGAGAAGAAGGACGTGATCAAAGACCCCAAAATCGTAGAAGCCACAAGATCAACTGTAGAAGATCTCGACCCCGTCCAACTTGATGATAACGACCACAGCAGGAAAGCTTACATCGACCACAAGCTTCAAGAACTAGGTAAATCCCATCAATTCTTAAACAGTAACGCAGACTTGTTTGCTTTTTCCCATGCAGACATGCCAGGTATCCCAAAGGAGATAGCGACCCACAAGCTGAACATTGACCCATTCTACCCCCCGATTAGACAAATTAGGCAGAAGTTCAATTCCTCCATAAACGACGCAGTCCGCGAAGAGGTTAAAAAGTTGTTAGCAAACAGCTCCATCAGAGAGTCAAAATACCCCCAATGGGTCGCCAACGTGGTCATGGTGAAAACGAAGAACGGAAAATGGCGGATGTGCGTGGACTTCACAGATCTAAACAAAGCCTGCCCAAAAGACTCATTTCCGCTTCCTCACATTGACCAGCTCCTTGATGCAACGGCCGGGCACGAGCTGCTAAGCTTCCTAGACGCGTACTAGGGCTATAACTAGATCCTCATGGGGGAGGAAGATCTGGAGAATACCACCTTCGTCACCCACTAAGGATCGTATAGCTATAGGGTGATGCCTTTCGGATTAAAAAATACGGGGCGACGTATCAAAGGTTGGTGACAAAGATGTTCAAAGATTAACTCGGCAAAACCATGGAAGTCTATATAGATGATGTGTTGGTCAAGTCCAAAAGGAAAGAGGAACACATCGACCACCTAAAAGAAGTTTTCGACATATTCGGGCGATACAGAATAAAATTGAATCCTGAGAAATGTGCATTCGGCGTGACCTCAGGGAAATTCTAGGGTTTCTTAGTGTCATAATGAGGTATCGAGGTCAACCCCGACCAAATCAAAGCTATAGAAGGGATACCAGAGAACTTAACCAACAAAAAGCAGGTTCAAAGGTTGACCGGCAACATAGTCGCCCTGTCGAGATTCATCTCGCGGTCCTTCGACAGGTGCCATAAGTTCTTTGGCATACTAAAAAAAGACAACGACCTCCAATGGACCGCCGAATGCGTCGACGCCCTGAAAGAACTAAAGGCCTACCTATCGTCGCCCCCACTGCTTTCCAAAGCCAAACTTGGAGAGCGCCTTCTCGTCTATCTGGCAGTATCAGAAGTGGCGGTGAGTGCAGTCTTGGTCCGAGAAAATAAAGGTAATCAATCTCCCATCTATTACATTAGCAAAACTTTAGTCGACGTCGAAATGAGGTACCCCCACCTCGAAAAACTAGCTCTGGCCTTGGTCGTAGCTTCACGGAAGCTTAGACCTTACTTTCAATGCCACCCCATCTCGGTAGTCACGACTTTTCCCTTAAGAAGTATTTTGCATAAGCCTGAAATGTCGGGCAGACTGGCCAAATGGGTCAGAGAGTTAAGCGAACATGATATCACATATCAACCGCGAACCGCGATAAAGTCGCAGTACTAGCTGACTTCGTCGCCGACTTTAGTGCAAAAATAATGCCTGAAGTCCAAAGAGAAGCTGTCAACACCTCTCCTCTGATACAAGATCTATGGATTTTGTACACCGATGGCGCATCTAATGCATCAGGGTCCGGACTGGGTCTCATGCTCGAGGTCCCGACAGGCGAAGTAATTCGCCAGTCCATTAGATGTCCGGACATGACTAACAATGAGGCCGAGTACGAGGCAGTGATTGCAGGATTAAGACTGGCACTCAAGTACGGAGCAAGACGGGTCATCTTACGCTGCGACTCTCAGCTCGTGGTCAACCAAGTCACAAGGACTTTCCAAATTAAAGAGCAAAGGTTACAGAAGTATCAGGCCAAGATCTGCAGGCTGCTACCTGAATTCGACGAGTGCCAACTCGACCAGATCCCTCGAGCACAAAATATCGAAGCAGACGGCCTTGCCAAACTAGCGGCAGCTACCAAAAACATAAACCTAACTTGGGACTGGCGCAATCATATTGTTGCATACTTGCAGGACGACGTGCTCTGATGATAAAAAAGAAGCTAAGAAGCTTCGAATGCAAGCGGCCTCGAACCAGACACGGCGCATTCCAGAAAAAGTCCATGAAGGACACTACGGAGCACATTCTGGCAATCGGGCTCTGGTTAGATGTCTCATACGAGCAGGCTATTACTGGCCCACCATGAAAAAAGAGGCCGCTGACTTCGTTAGAAAATGCGAGCAATGCCAAAAATACGCCCCCATGATCCACCAAGCAGGTGAGCACCTCCACTCAGTCACCTCGCCATGGCCTTTCATCAAATGAGGGATGGACATCGTCGGCCCCCTCCCAACAGAGCGAGGTAACATAAGATTTTTTTGGTTTTAGCTGACTATTTCTCTAAGTGGGTAGAAGCAAGAGCATTCGCCCAGATACGCGAGCAAGAAGTGATCGCCTTCATATGGAAGAATATTGTGTGCCGCTTCGGCCTCCCCAAAGAAATCAGTTGTGATAACGGACCCCAATTTACAGGGAAAAAGATCGTCGAGTTCTTCGAGAAATGGCATATCAAAAGAATAATCTCCATTTGGTACCATCCCGCAGGCAATGGACAAGCGAAATCCTCTAACAAATCATATTGAACATCATGAAGAAAAAGCTCGAGAACGCCAAGGGGCTATGGCCGGAACTACTGCCGGAAGTGCAATGGGCATACCGTACAACGCCAAAACCGAGCACAGGAGAAACACCCTACTCGTTAGTCTATGGGACTGATGCAGTAATACCAGTCGAGGTCGAAGAACCAAGCCTGAGATACTCCCAGGAGAGCGGGTCAAGAAACGACGAAAGCAGAAAGCAAGACTTTGACGAAGCCGAAGAACGAAGAGATATGGGTTATATAAGGATGATCACCCAAAAACAACAGGCAGAACACTACTACAACAAAAAAGCTAAAGTCAGACCACTCAAATTCGGGGACTATGTACTCAAGGCCAAAACACAGGCAAGCAAGGACCTTCGAGAAGGCGAACTGGGAACAAATTGCAACGGCCTTTACAAAATCACGGTAACAACAAACAAAGGGTCAGTCGAACTGGAAACGATGGATGGAAAACCACTTCCAAACAACTGGAACATCACCCACCTCAAGTACTTTAACTTTTAAGAAAAAATGTTCTCCTAGTCGTACTCTTTGTCCCAATTGGGTTTTCTCGGGAAGGTTTTTAACGAGGCGACAAGGAGGACGTCTCAAGTTAAAGTACGAGTAGGTGAAGGCACAGAATGATCAAACGTTGGTACAAAATCACAGAAGATACAGGATCAATTATTTAAGGAAAACATCAGTAAGGTAAAAGAGGTTCAATCAAGAGAAATTAGTGACGAATTTCTTAGCCTGATTAAAGGAATTTCGAAAATAAAACTTTGAAAGGGAAGCTTATATATAAGCATGCAGTTCAAAACAAAAAAGAACAACGATAGTTTTTTTCCATAATCATAGGCAAATAAGTTCACAAGTTCGATTACAGACTCGTCATGAGTCTATAAACCTAGGGTTTCAGAGTGAAACCCTAGTGTCTTTCACTTCAAAGAAAAGTGAGCCCCCCAAATCTTAGGGTTTCACATGGAGTCGGAGGTGAGGGAATCGTTCAAAGTCACAGAGATAGGCAGATATGCACAAACAGAAGTAAGAGGAAATTACGAGTTTTAAGACGAAGGTAGGCAAGAGCATGATCAACAGAACTCCGAAACAAAATCAAAGCATGAGCTTAAACACATGTGCAAAAGCGAGTCAATAACCTAGGCTAACATGTGAACAAAAGAGGTAAAAGAATCTCCGTAAAAGATCCGGTAAGAAACACAAGAGTAGGCTTGAACATAACAAGGAATAAAACAACGAGCATGAACACACATAAAAAGAGTAAAAGAATCAGAAACATTTAGAAACCATTTTCAGAAAACCCTAAAAAATAGGATTCGAACAGTTTTGAAAAGGGAAATTGGGGAAAAACTCTAAAATGGCACACACAGCGTAGATCTAGCATAGATCTAGACGAATAAGCGAAAAAGGAACCTCGATTAGGCTAGGGTTTCTGAGAACCCAAAAGGACGAGAAGGCATGGAAGTCTCGAGAATGGTTCTGAGCTAGCAAAGTCGAATCCAGGCTCGAGAGGCTGAGATATGCCGAAGCAAAGCCGGAAACGGCCAAAGAAACTCGAACCAGCCAGGGTCTGGATGAAGACCTTCGAGGTCTAGCCTCGAATCTTCAATGAGCAAGCGTGTGAGAGCAGGAGATGGTGGGTAGAGGTTGTCCATAGCTAGATAGCCATGGATTCTAGAGGTAGGTGGATATTAGGGTTTCAGAGGTTGAGAGGGTTCGAGAGAGATGAGAGGAACCAGAGGCGGCGAATTTGGAGAATGGGGATAGGGTTAGAGTTGTTTGGGAATTAAAATGGTAAGGAGGAAATGTGGCCGTTGATCATTTTGATCAACGGCCTGGATCAAAAGGGAGTCGGGCGGGTAAAAATAAACGGGTCGTGGGTCGGGTTAATTAAGAAATTGGGTAGGGAATTTTGGATCTGATTTGGGCTTAAGATTGAGGTTAATTTCGGGCTAAAATTGAAATGCAAAGGGCTAACTCTTAAATAGCCATTTTTCCCTTGTTTTAATTTATAAAAAATAGCAAAATAATTTTTGGAAATAAATCAAATGTGATAAAATGATTAATGATACATAATTATCAAATTAAAACTACTGGAGTCAATTTTATAAATATAATTACAATTGAATCTTTAAAGAGGCTAGTATTGCAATTTAGTTTTAAAAATACCAAATGAATTTGTAAAAATATGAAAAAATCATGTTAGCTATGTTTTGAAGTAAATATGAGAATAAAATAAATCGTTCACCAAAATGGCAAATTTTGGGAATAATTATTGGATTTTATGGTATAAAAATAGGCAATAAATTAGTTTAAAAAATCATCGAAAATATCAAAACTCATGGGTGTGCTTATATATGCACAAATATGCTATTTTGCAAGTATTTTGGGTTCGAAAAATACATAGGGAAAAATTGGGTATCAACATCCAGTACCTTACTTAACCGACTACCAACATAACATCTCTTTCTTACTGTACTTTCATTGGCAAATGGGCCAAACGGGCCGTCATGGGCTAGCCAGAATAGACATAGGGGAAATACTCAATATAGGACGACCCAACCTGATATATAAAAAAATTATAAGTGTGACATACGGGCCTATAAGGCCAATATTATCATTTGTAAACTCGAAACATAGGCCGGTAAGGCCATACAAGCATCTGTATACATGAAATCTGTCCACAAGCCTCTAAGAGTACATACTTATCATAAAGGTTGGGACAGAGCCCCGCCATACGAAACAATACGTGTCTAAATCTTACTGACCAAACAAGCAACTTCGGAGCAAATGGAGCACACCAACATCTTCTGCTGAGCTGATAGCCTACTTGGATAACTCTCGACCTGTCTATCGGGACTAGCGAGCATGAAACGCAGCGTTTCCAGGCAAAAGCGACGTCAGTACGAATAATGTACCGAGTATGTAAGGCACATAAATAAGTACATAAAAGACGTGGAAGAATATAGAGTACATGACTCAACCTGTAAGTCTGGACAACTCTCTAAATCATGAAATACTTATAGTGTCATGCATATGCATATGAATATCATGTCGTGCATAAGTACATGTGTTCATAATATCCTCAAGCCTCTGAGGGCATCCCATCATATCATCTCGGCCACTGTGGGCAAAATCATCAACATATACCGGTTGATCAGGTGGAGGTGCGTATATAATGCCTTAACCTTTTCCCATATCCCACATACATATAATATACATACATATATATGCGTATATAATGCCATCTGGTCATGGGTCAATGTACATGTATAAACGAATGGAATACATGAGAATTATGTCAATAAAATCTCTCGGCATGCCATAAGACCATTATGCCTTTGAGTAATATCATGAAGTAAACTTTTTCAACATATGTATTAATCTGAGACCCATGAACTGAAGATGTAATAATAAGACACATGGGAATTCAAGAACATAGGCAACTCTAATACTTCTATGAATAGAGTCATTTATGGAAGTTGTGCATTTGCTCATTTCGATCGTGTTGTTTAGATCATGCCAATAGGAAAGAAGGGATAGCCTTGACATACCTGAGTCGATTCTCTTGACAATCCCTCTTACACACGTCAATTGCGACAACACGTAACGACAAGATTGGAGTAGGGAAAAATCTGTATGATAGTCTTGAGAAAGATTGCACCGTACTCCATTATAATTGGCCAATCTCACGTTCTGATATATGACTCTCATATTCTTAAGATTGAATATGTGACTTTAATGTTCTTAGGACTTAAAATGGCCCTCCTTTATTAAAATGGATATGTACCTACGTTCTTAAGACTTAAAATGGCCCTCCTTTATTAAAATGTGTGTGACTAACGTTCTTAAGACTTGCCAACTCCCACATCTCAAATTTTTCCACTTAATCTAATGACTTAAAGAGTCACAATTCTTGGGGGTGGCTTGCTGCCACATGTGGAAGGTCTAACTTTATCCAATTCTTTAATTAATTACCAAGTAATTCCTTAATTAACTAGGTAATCTCCCATTATCCAATAATTAATTAATTACCCACATAATTAAAAATTATCTCAACTTACTTAAAATTCTACTCAATTTTACATACCTTATACACCTTACTATCATGGTCATGTAGTACTTGTGTGGCACTAGTCCATAAATACGGGGCATTATAACTTGGACCATATTTTATTCCAGATTTCCAAACTTCGACGAAACTCATTTTCTTCTATTTGCTTACCTTCTCTCCTTCAAGGATAATACTCATCACGTGTTTGAAATAGCATAATGCTTATAGTTCCAAAATAGTCTCATTCCCAAACCTGCATCGATTAACTTACGACAAAACTTTAACGTTCAAAAATGCGGGATGTAACATCTCATTTCCGAGCTTCCATTAATTTA